GGGTGACCTGCTCCATTCAACATGTGAAAGGTTTAAACAAAATAATAATTTTTAAGTCTAGATAAAACAGAAGTCCATTTTATCAAACCTAAGTAACTAAAATTTGTATGCCCGCTTATTTCATCTTTTGCTTTTTTTTTTCTTTGTTCTTTTTTGTTATCAGACAAATGGATGGATTATCACTTCATATATAAAAATTAAAGGCTACATAAATGTTAAGAGGATATTTGCATAATCATACAATTCCTGAAAAGATGATTACGTACTTCGATCCTAATGCCAAATGCATGATCTTCATAGTATCCTGGTTCATTACTGACAACCATGCCTTTCAGTAATGGAGTCATGTTGCTAAACCGGAAGCTTATACTTTGAGGGCCTTCATGAACATTCAGTGCAGCTCCTACACCATGACCAGTACCTGAAGTATGGATGGAAATTAATTAATTCAGCACATGTAGCGTCAAAATAACAAACTCCAAGAAATCTAATATAATAGGAAATAATACCATGACGGTAATCAAGACCGATCTTCCACAGTGATGATCTTGCAAAGGCATCTAATACAAATCCTGGGTAATTTTCTGGAAAAACAGCCTGATCAAGTGCAATATGACCCTGCGGAAATCATTAATCACTATCTCATACCCTTAGAGTTTTTGCTTAGTAGAATGACAAGAACTAAGGAAAACCGTACAACCTTAGTCAAGCACTGAACAACATTTATCAGAAACTACAGGTTGCTATTTGAAAAGATACCATTATTGGTTTATGTTTTAAAAAAACAATTATGATGCCTATGAAAATCTTAATAGCTGCAGACGTATATGTATTTCTCTTCTCTCACATATTCAACTCAATTAAACGTAGATGAAGTTTAACTTATCGACCCTTGCAAGTACTAGGAATAGCAGAATATGTTTAAAACCACAAACAAATTTGGTCTATTAGGCTAGTATAAGAAACAACGACATGCTGGTATGTAAGAAGATATGATCGGTGGAAGTCATAATGTGTGGAGAGGGTTGGAGTTCAATATTCCTAGTGGAACTGTTAACATATGATTTCAATCTGTGTATCTTTCTTCAAATAAGTTACACATTGCCAAAGCTGGGAAGAACCCATCTAATACAAATTTATGAATTGCATTTGCATTGAATTTCAGGTAAAATACCAGTCATTCACGGTAGACACACAGCAACTTGCCCTATTCACCTCACGGCACAAGTCCAATTTTCTTTTCTAGCAAGTCATCATGTCCAAAGAAAAATGCATTTACAAAGCCTTGATCTTACCTGAGTATTTCCTAGTTAGTGACAAGGCATACAGGTGAGTAAATCGTAGAACTATCTTAGAGTCATAATGAATTTGTATTACGACTGCCAGACTTTTCCAACTCATGCTTGTCTGGATCAAGAAATCTGTTAAAGAGTATCTGAAGCCATCATATTACAGAAATGTTTACAGAAAAGAGCCTCAAGTTTTGCCTGCTGCTTTTCATTTAACAGGATTTCTCAAAGTTTCTTAAACCCAAGCAGATCCCAACTTGAATCTAGTCACAGAGATACTTGCGACAAAAAACTTATGCCTTGTTTTATTGCATGCATGTGATATAGTAATAACATGATCATTCACCTGCCTTTATTCTTGAGTGCTTTCTTTTAGAACTTGATATCTATCGTGGAATATCTGCCTAATATCTTTTATATATTGAAAGTAAATGAAGATATCACTGAGATTGCCACGAAGGCATGAGGTCGAAGAACAATGAATCGGTCTCTTGACTTCAATTTAGATATTTGTAATTCTTTTTAATGTTATTTTAACAGAGAAAGGTGATTAAGCAAAATGAATAGCAAACAATGAACATTACCTGAAGCACTCTGGTAAAACATTCTTTTTGCCATGAAGAAGGTTGACCAAAATGTACAGTTCGAGTAATGTCGGTAGTTCCATCAATATATTGTGCTCCACTGTCCAATAGAAACAATTTCTCAGCATCCACTATGCTGCAATTGCTAGGGTCCGCTCTGTAGTGTATGATAGCACCATTTGCACCAGAACCTGCGGAAAACATTTGGCACTGTAAGTTCCAGAGAGGAAAATATATAAATCAATGAAACAATTCAGTAGAATATTTAGCACATAGGATATATGCAACTCCTGAATTGACAGGACACCCGAAGCTCATAACATAACTCATCTAACTCAAAGCCAAAAGTCAAGAAATCTGTTTGATTAATCACATACAAGGCAGAAGATTGGGAATGAGAAGTCCACCAAATCTGTCCAAATGCCAGAAGGGGGGATGGTGAGTGGATTGGCTTTGGTAGCTGTGAATTCTCGCGTGAAGATAAAAAGATGGAAACACAAAAAAAGAAAAAAAGGAAAAGAAAAGAAAAAAGAGACGTAATATTGTCAAATTTTTTAAATGACTTTTTACCTCAAATGTCTATTAGATGTTATATTTATGACTGACCGAGTATGTGTGCGTGGGTGTAATATCGAGTTCAAGATTTTTCTTATGGGAAAAAAAAAATAAAAAAAATATAGGTGTCCAACATCATTGAGTTCATTAAAGACTGTTCTGTACCAGAATATCCCACAGCCCTAGGTGGCAATTTAGAAGTGTGCAGCCATCAAGATGTCACAGGTAAATGAAAACTATGGCAAGTTTTCTACTTATAATAATCATGGAATTATATCATCAAAAGTTGAGCAGATAAAGATAAATTCAAATTTTCTGCCATCCTTGTACAGGCCTATTAATATTCGCATTCTAGCTAAAAAAATTTGCATCAAGCTTGGCATCTGACAATGAAAATACCATATGTAAGGTTGTTAAGACTATTACACTATTACATACCACTTATAGCATCAAAACTTGTGTCCACGAAACCATCTTGCGTAGAACTGAATTCAAGAATGAAATACAAAATGTAAGGTCGTTAAGACTTACGCACCACTTATAGTATCAAAACTTGTGTCCAAAAAACCATCTTGCCTAGAACGGAATTCAAGAAGTTTGTCCGCAACATCTACTTCTGTCAAAATAACACCCCTGCTGATTTCCTCCTCTAGCCATACCCAGAATTGAGCTAGAGCTGCTGCATCTCTGCATAAGATCAGTCATTATCATTAAGTACACGAAAACATTTATCTCTATCTAGTTAATCAGTTCATAAAAATTTCATATAATAATACTGTAGAATATATGTATTTTTTTCAATATGTTAAAGAATACATCCCGGCCATAAATCAAATAAAACAGCAACTTGAATTATAAAACTTAAATCGTTATTATTAATACAAAACTCAAAAACGTCAAAGGGTTTGTTTTATCAACCCTCATAGATGAACAGTTTATTTATTTATTATTATTTTTTTTAACGAACCTCACAGAATTCGAGGAATGAAGACAATATATATACACACACAATGGCAAAATGATCCTGTAACGTAAATGACCATAAGAAAATATGAAGGGGATAAATGGATAATATGGAGTTATAACTATGCCATGTTCAATATTTACTTCTAATATCAAAAGGCTGACTATCTAACACTGGCAACCCCAATACCATGCAACCTATTGCGCAAATAATGAGCAAGGATAAACTTGTACATTCATGTAACCAAACTTATTTTATATCATTAAAAAACACGACTTGCAGCTGCAGTCACCTTAGATGAGAATCACACATTCCTTGCAATTCAGCTTCATTTTTCACAGCTTTGGCCAGAGAAATAGGCGAGCTCTTACAGATAGCAGTGGGTCCACAAGAATGGCCATCATGACTAGCTGACAATGTCTCCTTACTTTGATCGACAGTTCCAGCAGTGCCAAAGTGCTTTTCACAGGCCGATTTATAAGTATTTACTATAGCAGCACTAACGGATGATGTGTCCAACCAAAGACAGGCACCTTTTGCAGCCAAACTGCAACACAAAATATACACAGGTATTTGTTTAGAGAAACATTTGGCATACAACTTAGGCACGTGAATTTTATAATGTGAGCTCCATTCTCCAACACTATCCTCTATCTATTCACATTTTTCTTTACGTATTTTAACCCCATCTTCTGTTTTCTTCTTTACGCCTATCATTCTGCAAAGTAGATTCTTCCAGTTCTTGTTCAAGTATCAAGTTCCTTATAGAATCACTAAATGCTTGGATATAAAAAAAATTGGATTTGTTTGAATTTTTGGTTTGGTTTGGTTTGGTTAATTTTGAAAAAGGTGGTATGGTTAGTTGTTAGTGGGTATATTAAAATAATATTTTAAAATATAATAATTAAAGTTGATTTGATATAAAAGTATGAGAGAAATTATTTGAAGTGATGGTTAGCTAAAATTATGTGAGTGGATGAATAGTAAATTAAAGTTGATGAGATGTGTATAAATGATTGGTTGATATTATTTAATTATATTAATAATATTAATGAAGTGAGGTTGAGTTAAAGTTGAGTTAAAAAAAGTGGTTGAGTTAAAAATGTTTGGATTTTTTGGGTAAATTTTGTATCCAAGCATACTCTAAGAGTTAAATTAAAAATGCTGAGCAACCCTTTATTAAGTTGGAGAGAAGACAATTAAGTGCCACCATTGAGCATTATAACATTGCTGAAGTAGGAGTGTCTTCAAGAAAACAGAACAGAACAGATGGAGGTACGAGTTCGGAGGGTCATATACAGGAAACGTTTAAAGTGGCGCCTCTTAAATATATAGGATCTAAGGATGAAATAGAAAATGCTAAGAAATCCTTAATTAAATTGGAGAGTAGACAATTAACTGCCACAATTGTGCATTCGAGCATTGCTGAAGTAGGAGTTCTAGCCGAAGCTTCAGAATAGAACAGATGGAGGTACAAGTGTGGCGCCTCTTAAATATATATGACTCGGGATGCCATAAAAAAGTTATACACACATATGCACGGCCAACAGTGAAAATCTGTCGGACACTGTCTGGGTTGTGATTAAATGAAAATGGCATAACTCGTCGAGTAAATAAGGCCAATAGTGAACAATCTAACGTATACTACCTGGGTTGTGATTAAATGAAAATGGCATAATTTGTCAAGTAGAAAACATTTCAATGTTTTATATTAAAATTAATTTATGAGGTGTTTATGTACAGTGTTTAGCTTTTCAGTTTTTAGTTTCATTAACCCATAGAGTATAGATCTACAAGTTTTCTGCAGTGGAGAGAAAACGGAGCACTTTAGTGGTGTAGAACTCGATCTAATACAAAGAAAAGACAGCAAAACTCGATTGAACTAACCTTCCAATATGGGAAAGAATAGAATCATACGGCCTCAACTCTATTCCAGCAGCTTCCAAATAGTGCATAACATCCGGCTTGACTTTGACGTCATCTATGAATAGTTTTGCTCCATCAATCTCCACGACCAAATAAGCGTACATGACTGGTGAATGTGGCACGTCGCTACCTCTCTATTAATTAAAGTAACATGTAAAGTCGACAAATAAATTCCAACAAAATCAAAACACAACTTTGGTTTTACAATAAAAAATGAAACCAGAACGCAAGGGTACTGATAGATGTAGCACCGAGTGAAAAAAACTCTAAAATTGATCTCCTGGACACCCCTTAATCGGTTAAAATCAAAGACAAGATGCCAAGACAACTAATGACTGGAGTGGAGAGCAACTCCAGTTTTAACAAGCTAGCAAAAGAAGTACAACAACACAAAACTCATATCCCCATCTCATATGAAATGATATGCTGCTGCTATTATCCCTTTTCAATATCACATTACTTTCTTTTTTCTCTAAGTTGGGGTGGGGATAGTTAATTGATTTTATCGTTCAAGTGAACAAATACTGAGGTTTATGAAATCCCAGAAAAACAAAAAAAGCTTACTGATTTACCAAGTTCAACAGCCATGCTATCTCATCCAGCATTGTGATAACAATTGCAGATGAACCAGCATTAGCCAGTTCAGATCTCAATGAACTCAGCTTGGATGACACGTCTACACCAGCATATTTCAGGTCATGTAGTCTAATATGACTATTTGGATGCTTTGGTCGGGAGTCCTTCCATATCTCATCCACGAGATTGACATCATACAAGTAGACTAACTCGTGGTTCTTTGTAGATATGGCCTCTTTCAATTTTTCGGCAGCATCCGAAGAAAACAAGAACTGAACCCTTCACAAAAAGATTAAGCAAATGTAGCATGCTGGGATCAGGAAGATGCAATGGACGAAATAATGTATAAGAAATTTCATATCAGATCATACTGACGTCAGAACTGCAGAAATAGGAGTGTGGCAAACTAAATATATAACAAGTGCAACACCCTGGGAAATCTGCTAAACTTAACAACATATATGTCATTGATATCTCCTTATTGTCTAATTCGACAATAGTTCTGGAAAAAGATAAAAAATAAAATTGTGCTCTAGAAGTCAAAGAAAAACAAATAAATAAAGTTAACTCTTTCCCCTCTCCTTATTTATATAATCATTCCATCTTGGATAATAATAATACTACCAAGTGACTTACCCTGAATCACCCAGCTATCCCACCTAAGCAAATTACACAATGAGGCCTGGTCTGCAGAACTGGAGGCAAGAAGATCTAGTATCAGGCTGCTTCAGAAACAAACAGACTACAGAACCAGCACAAAGCCCAGAACAAAAATCGAGCACAGTCTAAAAAAGCAGACATCTAATTCGTAATTCTTCCTAATTCTCAGGTACTACTGTCAGTTCACATTATCGGTCAAACGCGCTCGTCATACACAAAGTAGTTCGCCGCCACTATTTTACATGAAAAGTTACGAGAAAATGGAACTGAAATAATTATCCGGTATCAGGAGCCATGACATTATTAAACCACACAGACCAGAAACTAGAAAATGTACGCACAGGGTCTATGCCAATTCTGCTGCCGGGTGCCATGACACCATTAAGCCACTCACTTGTTGAGGGTACTCCAAGATTACCAGCTCTCATGAGAATCCAGCTTGAGTTTAACTGCTGCTCGGCCTGTTAGCAACAAGAAAGAAATATCACTCAAGTTACAACTCACAAGTAAAGCTAATCCACACTTGAGTGAAAGAATGAGACTGATTGCCACCAATTCAGACCTGGAGGAAGTATCTTCCATCTGTCCAAAGAGCTGCTTTATTTTTTGTGACAACAGCGGTGCCAGCACTGCCAGTAAAACCTGATATGTATGCTCTCCTTGCATAACAGTCAGCAATGAACTCGCTCTGAGATTGGATATAAGAGTAGTAAGAAACTGAAAATGCAACCAGTCATGTGAAGGTGCAAACTGAGTCTTCGACGTGGAATATCAACAATTTTCATTAAAAAAACTATACATTTCGATGCATAAAAGGGAAACTTTCCCATGGAATGGATCGTTAAGATTTCCCGACACGAGGGACAATGCCAAACAAAATCTGCACATGCTAATTTACTTAATTTAGAATGAATAAAAAAACATTTTGGACTGCTAAACCAGCTAACCAACAACAAGAACTCTTTCACCTCTTCAATACAAAGCTTCCTTTCCTCGAGGAGAACAACACAAGCAAACGTGAACAAATAGGTACAGAAAGTAAAAGCGAACACAAGTAAGTACTTGTGCACTAGTGCAAAAGACAACAAGCACGAAAAACCACTATATAAAAGCTTGAATATATCTCCAATCCGCAAAAATAGAAACTAGCAAATCTAAAGCTAAAATAATTAAAATCGACCAGAAGTAAAAGTTAGATAACTCGAATTTTAGGCCAAGACAAGATTAAAAGATTGGAGAACGTTCAAAAACATATAAATCAAAAAAAAAAAAAAATGCAAGAAAACCTGATGAGCGTCCTGAGAAGGAATGATATAGGCATCGATGTTGATGTTGGGCCTGGAAAAGAGCTCACGGAGGGCGACTAGCTTTTCGTCAGGCTCGGAGCTTCCGCGTTTCTTCTGCAACTCCGATGAAGGCTTGGCGGTTATGGAGGCGGACAATCGGAGCCTGGGGTGACAATGCAATTTGGTGGGAAATTTGGGGAGGCAAGTGATATTACGGCTAAATGGTGAAGGGACGGTGAGGATGCTGAAGGCGCGGCTGCGAGCACGGAGGTTGGCGGTGGAGAGGGAAAGCATTCTGGCGGCGGAATAACGAACGGCAGACTCCATACAGACGGTTCTTTCAGAGAGAGAGAGAGAGAGAGGGGATAAGGCGTCTTTGTCTGCTACAACTTCATTGCCTTTTGTCTCGCTTCACGCAACCAATCTTAAAACTAATTTACCATAGGAGTTAATTATTTTCGTAGCAATAAATTTAGGAGGTAGTTATTATAGATTTTAATAGACGTTTAGAATAAATAAAATTATTTTAAATTAGTACTCAATCTAAAAACCCTAGATGAACTCTCAGCAACGATCGCCAAGACGCCGGCCGACCCCCGGCTAGACCCTCCTGATTTGCGACACCAAGAGTCTCCCCGACCTTTTGAGGCATACCTATAGTACCTAGATCCCACCGGAGCATCCAAAAAGAGGCGAGCTTCCGGCACTTTTGAAGGCCAAAGGGACGATCCGATCCAGCCGCCTCCTGGACAACCCCCTCGCCCAG